GATCATCTGCGGTGTGCTGGGGGTTTCCGTTCTCGTACAGTGCTTTTGCGAGGGCTTCGATGCGGTTTGCGTGGTCGAAGTGAGCCATCAGAACTCACCTACGAGCTTGCTGAAGTCCCGTTGGCTGATGTTGCTGGTGTTCGCGGTCATCTGCGCCTGTTGCAGGTCAGTGCGGGCCTTATCCAACTGCTTCCGGGCCTGCTGTGCGGCGTCGACGAGGGCGTCCCGTTCCTGCGGCCCAATCCAACCCAAGTCGAGGGTGGCTTTCGCGTTGTCGTCGCCGATCTTCGCGGCGAGAGTGGCGAGTTCTTCGAGGTAAGTGCTCATGCTGTTGCCTCCGGGATGAAGATGACGGTGATCGGCCCGTACTTGGCGATCTGTTTGCTGGTGAGGTCGGCGGTCTCGTATCCGCACCATTGGCCGCCGCGCTTCTGTGCCACGTCGTCGCAGTTGTCCATGACAACGGTCATGTTCGGCAGCGCATCCAATTCGGCTTCGGTCGTGACCGTGCGAAGCTTGGGCTGGTAGTCGGCGAGGACCGCGTCGGCGACTGCGAGTAGGTCGTAACGGCTGTCGAGGACGGCGTCACCGAGGTCGCTGATGTCGGTGTAGCCGAACTGGTCTTCGCCACGCAGCGCGACGGCGATGGTATCGGCCAACTCTTCTCGTGTGCTCATGCTGCGTATCCGTTCAGGTATCCAGTGAGGGTGTAGGCGAAGGTGATGCAGAGTCCGGTGATGGTGACGGCGACGTAGGTTCGTCCGCGCCACAACTTGCAGCGCTCCAAGCGTTCGCGCCGGTCTGTCAGGTCGTCCATGAGGGCGAGGGATTCGAGCGTGTCGCAATGCTGCGCAAGGGATCTCATATCCGACCGCCGTCTGTGTCGAGCTGCGTCATGCAGTCCTCGCACACGAAATAGTCACCGAACCCGGGATCTGTGTGCGCGCTGAGGTTGATGGAAGTGCAGTTGCCGCACACCGGAGCATTCACAGTGGCGGGCTTACGTGAAGCGATGAGTTCAAGCGCGGGAACACCTGTGCGGTGCCGGCCACGCGAACGAAAAGCGAGAACAGTCATGACATTCCTTCCGATTTGAGCCCGTTGCAGCGGGCGATAATTGCGAGCGTACAACGAGACTTGCGTACACGCAATGCCTGCAAGCAAGTCTCGTTGCGTGCACGCTCGCAAGTTCGACGACAAACGAAAACCACCGATTACTGCTGGCTCATTGAGCCGCTGACGCCCGAACCACGCACCCAAGGGGAACTTGTACCGAACGCAGTACTCAACCCGCGAGGAACCTTCTCAGCGCCTGAACCCAAACTTTTGGGCCCCGACATTTCAATCGCCGACAACTTCTCCGCCAACTCAGCATCCCGACGATCCTCCAACGCACGCCGCTCCCCCGGCGTCATCCGATCCGAACGATCAGACCTGATCGCCCGAGCGAACTTCACAATCTCCGCAGGCTCCGGCGCCTGACCCTCATCCGCGGCCCGCTTCTCCACAGCCGCCAACAAATCCGGGAGCTCCAAGTTGTGCTGCGAAAACACTCTCGCCCACGACTTCGCCAACGCAATCGCCTCCTCGTTGTTCGCCGGTCTCGGCGCTGTACGCCGATGGACGAGCGCGATGTGCGCGATTACCGCTGCCGCTTCTGATGGTGTGGTCATTGTTCGATCGCTTTCGATTCGGAGTCGAGTGAGTGCGCGAGGTGCATCCAGGATTCAGCTTTGGACGGTGCACCTCGACTGGTCGGTGGTGCTGTTCGATCTCGGATCACGTCGGACAGCAGATGCGGAAGCACCTTCGGTCCGAGGCCTGGTTTCCCGAGCCAGATTTCCAAGGCCGCGGTGACGTCGGTTTCGGTGGTGCCTTGCTTGAGGAGCGCGGACACCTCCAACGCCAACGATGTTTTCGTGGCCGAGGAATGTTCGGCGGGGATGATGCGACGGACGATGGTCCAGGCATCGATGGGGACTGCTGGGCCTCTCGGCAGCTCTTCGCGAACGCCCATGATGCTTACGTGAGATGAACTAGAGAACTCTTTAGAGTTCTCTTCTCTTCTCTCCTCTCCTCTCCTATGGGGTGGACTTTCCGCGGACGTGTCCGCGGACATTTCTCGTTGCTCGGCCCGTTTTTCGGCTTTGCGTTCGCGGTCTTTTCTGCGGCGTTCTACCAGCTTGTCGCCGCTTTCCTGCCAGTCGGACCATGCCGGGAATCGGTATCCGCCGCCCTCGACTTCGACGAGAACTTTGCGCGAGATTAGATCGAGAATCGATCGATTTCCGTTCGGGATTGCGACGAGTTTGTGAGCATTTTGCGGCACAAACCCCATCGTTTCGGCGTTGCCGCAGTAGGCCAAAAGTCGTGTGAACATGCGCTCCGTGGATGCCGAAGCGCCGGCCATTTTCGGGTCGAGGAAGTACGTCGAAGACAGCCAAACTTTCTCCATTTATGCCGCCTGGTGTTGTCTGTCGTGTGCGATGGTGAGGTGGTTTCGTGGGACGCCGGCATAGTGGCATGTGCCGGTTGGGTGATAGTTGTTGTCGAGGCAGACGGTGACGGTGGGGCCGTTGATGGCGACTGCGGTGACCTCCAACCCTGGGGAGAAGTGTCCCCAGGGTGTGGCGATCATCGTCCGCAGGATTGCGGGTCGGTTCATGCGGTGGCCTGGTGTCGTTTGGATTCGATGTAGGCGTCTACGTCGTCGCGGAACCATCGCAGGGGTGAGTTGTCGGAGTCGCCGATCTTGAAGCCTTTGATGTAGAGGGGGTGCCCTTTTTTTGCGGCTCTTCAGGATGGTGGAGTGTGAGACTCCGAGTTCTTCTGCGAGTTCGTGGATTCCGATGGTTGTTGTGCTCATGCCGTGCCTTTCCATGTGCGGTTGGGGTTGTTGTGGCGTGTTCGGCGGGTGGGTGAGCACCAGCCGACGTGGTGGATGTGTCCGCGGCGGGCGTGTTGGCCGATGAGTGCGGGGAGGACGTTGTAGTGGTCGGTCATCCAGTCGCGGGTTTCGGGTGGGACTGCGTCGCGGACGTGGTCGGCGGAGAATTCGCGGCCGGATCGGATGAGTTCCGTGAGTGCGGTTTCGATGTGGTTGGGGTGGTCGTGGTGTCCGACTGTTGCGGCTGCGAGGGCTACGTCTTGCCCGTCCAACTTGAGCTGCTCACCAGCAGTGGTCATTTCGTTTCCTTGGGGTCGTCGTAGTGAAACGGGAGCGGGTGGTGCGGTCCGGTGTGACCTTGTGGTCGACCGCATCGGGTGACCACACGCAGGAAGAAGTCGAAGGGTGCATCGCAAACTTCGGCGCTCACAACCCCTCCCATTCGCGGTTGCGGCCAGGAAATAGATCCGCGTCCGACTCGTCGCAGGTACTGCACCGGACTGATGGCAATGGCCCGTAGTACGACATCGGGTCAATGGGGGTGCGCACGATGTAACGGAACTCGCGACGTTGGCGGCAACGGAAGCACCAACGCTCACCGTCCGGTTCGTCGCGTGCGATTTCAGTCGGCACACAGAGAATGTGAAGGCTCATGGTCGCGCCGCCGCGTGTGCACAGGCTGCGGCCCAACGACTTCCATCTGCATCGTCGGTCTCAATGCGCCAACCTTCGGCAGCCTTACGATGGCGCTCTTTCTTGTCGGGAAAGAAGAACTCGAATGCCTCAATTGCAGAGCTGCATCCCCATCGGACTGTCACCCCATCGACAGCGCCAGCCGCATTGACTAGAAGCCAATGGTCTTTCCGTTTGCGCTCCTGCTCGTCGCGCTCGTGCTGCTCTTGGATTTTGCGGACGTTGGCGTATTTGGCATCAACCTGCGCCTTGTACTGCTCAAGCGTCATTGGCTTGCTCATGCTGCGTCCTTGGGGGTTTCGGTGGGGATGTTTGCGTCCGGATGCGACCAACGGTTGTACGGGCCACCACGGTCCTCACGCTGCCCGCACCACGACTCGTGCTGCGACCAACCCGGCACCGGACCACTACAGGTGCACGTATCGCGGAAATAGATGCTCACGACGCCACCTGCTCTTCCACGGTCTCCGCGTCAACAGGCTCAGCATCCAACGGCAACTGCTCAGGCTCCGCAGCTGCCTCGTCCGCAGCCTCCGCCTCCGACATCCCCTGAATGCGCCCCATGATCAACGCCTGAATGTCGTCCTTCTCCTGCGCCGGCAACGTCGCGGTCTGCGTCCATAGCTCGCGCAGCACGTCCTTCGTCTCCGCCTTCTCGATCGCCTTCACCAGTGACTCGACATCGACGGTCACCGACTCCCCAACGTCTCCGCGATCGAACGCTGACGAGATGGCTGCTGGCGAGGCGCAGGAGCACCATCCTCTGTAATCACATTCGCCTGCTGCATCTCGTCCGACGTGTACAGACCAGACAGATCCTGCGGGAACGCTTTACGCAGAGCCAACGCTTCAGCGCACTTGGCGAGCATCAGCGCGCCCTTCTCACGCCACATCTTCGTGGCGTTTCCGTTCTTGTCCGTTCCGACGTACTCCGACATCAGAGCGACGGCCGGATAGCGACTGCCATCTCGAACGACCGTGACCTTCGCAGCGCTCGGAGGGCCGGACCGAAGCCACACATCAGTCCACTGACCGTCCTCGCCGCACCACAGAGTGTCTTCGTATCCGAATGTTCCGCGAGCGTTGTTTACTGCACGGCGAGCGATCAAACGAAACCCGTCGATGCCCGTCTGAATGGTGTACTTCGTCGTCCACGACTCCTTCCGGGTCTGCGGATCCCATTCCTTCGAGTTGCGGCCGATCATGTAGATCTGGCGCGCAAACGGATCCAAGCCGGTGCGCTGGCACTGGTGGAAGAACACCATCAAGTCACCCTCGGTGGCCTTGTCGACCCCGATCTGCTTGAGCGCGGCGACCTGCTTGCCGGTGAACTCTGTCTGCTCGGAACTGATTGCCAGCGTGTCGTTGCTGTGCACTGCGATCTCGGTCATGCTGCTGCCTTTCGAGGATTCAAGATTTCGGGAGCCTTCTCCGCGAGGCCAGACGTGGCGCGAATAGACGGCGCACCCTTGCTATTCACACGCGACGCGATCGTGTGACCGTTGAACGTCGCCTTCTTCGACGAACCCAAGTATTCGAGGAGAACCGACCCGGTCCGCTTCTTCTCCAGCGCCACAGCAGATTCCGCCGCAAACGCCTCCAAATACGGAACCGCGATCTCCGCCGGAACATCCACACCCGGATCATCAGCAATCGACGTATTCGCATACCGAACCGACAACCGATCACAATCACGCGAATGATCCGCCGCCGGCTGGATACCTGCCTGCAACTGCTGATCGAACGCCAACACCCGTTCCCGCAAGACCGCAGCATCGCGGTCGTCATAGTCGATGACGAACACCTTCGGGCGGCGATGGAACAGTTCGAACGGACCGCACGCCGCGAGATGCGTTCGGCGAGCGCCAATCACATCCATCTGCCACATCACCTGCACCAGATAGTGCATCGGGACCTGATCACCCCACTGGTGGATGTCATCCGCAGTCTTGATCTCCAACAACTCGGTCTCGACAACCTCAACACCGTCGACAACAGTGCTGATCGTGACGATGCCGTCAGGGTCCGCCGTCTGCCACTCCCGAATCGAGTGCTGCCACGTCGAGGTCTCCTCCACCGACCAATCCGGGTGCATGTCCTGAAACCATCCGCGGATCAGCGGTTCGAACTCATGCCCGCGGCCCTGCACATCCGTTTGCGGTTGCAGCGGAACGATGCCCTTCATCGCGTCATAGATGCTGCGAGGGGTGTCCCACTTCGACAAACCCACGATCGCCGCGACCTTCGACGCCGAGTACTTCGTCCACCACTCCGCCGTGCCAGGAGCAAGCGGTTCGGGAAGCTGAAAACCAGTGAGGGTAGTCATGACGCCGCCTTGAAGTTGACAGCCTCAGCGACCTTGTCCCCCAACGACACCAACGCCGCCAGATAGTCAGCATCCGAAACCGTGATGCGCTTCAACGCCGCACCCTTGTCCGCGTCCGGATGATTCAACCCATCAGGCAACGTCGCAGTCACAACATGCAACTGCAACAACGGCTCGCACGAGTGATGCCACATGTACCGCCACATCGGGCTACCGCCATGGAACTCCAACAGATCCTCCAAGCGAGCTCTCGCGTCGCCCTCACTGTCAGGGGTAAGGTGTAAGTGCATTCGCTTTTCCTTCCGATTGGTGATTGCCTCGCCGGTCCCTTTGCAGAGGGGCCGGCTTTTTTCTGCGCTCATACCGCTACCGCCATCTCGGAGACGCACTCGAACAGATCGTCGAAGTCGAGGTCCGGGAAAGTGTTGAGCAGCCCTGCGATGAAACGGCTCCCCGGTTCCATGCGGCCTTCGAGGACGCGGTACACCGTGGATCCGGAAACACCCATTTTTTCGGCGAGCTGGGTTTGGTTGAGGCCGCCTGCGAGTCGCATGTATTTGGCGAGTTGCGTTCGGCGGAGTCGGACGAGGGAAGTCATCTGCGCTCCTTTTGCGTGTCCGCTAGCTGGGTTGCTTGCGTGCACGCTTGACGCTACGCCTATTGCTTGCGTGCGCGCAAGCCAATCTCGAAAGATTTTTTCCGAACCCGGACTTACATGACTGTAATTTGACTAACTTGCCATCTAGCTGGGTAAACCCACCTTCATGCAGACACCATTACCTCAACTTGCGCGCACGCAAGCACTTTTTCGGCCAAAAACGCCCACTATCGTTCTCGGCATGACCGACTTCGCCTCATGGGTGGCACAACAGATCGCCAACAAGGGCTACAAAACCGACGCCGAAGCAGCCAGACACATAGGCGTCCCCAATCCACCATCGGCAGATGGAAGACCGGCAAGAAACAACCACTCGCCGAAACGATGCGCAAAATCTCCGAGTCCCTCAACATCCCCATGCAACAAGTCCTCGTCGCCGCCGGCTACCTCAAACCCGAAGAAACCGGAGTCGTCGAAGTCGTCTCCACGAAGGCACTCACGAACGATCAGCTGCTGACCGAGATCGCCTCCCGGTTGGTCGACGACAAGCTGGAAGCGTTGACTTCGGTAGATCAAGCCGTAGAGGTTGACGGGAAGCAGTCGGACTACGACCTGGTGTCCAACCGGAAGGGTGAGACAGCGGAGCGTCGGCGCCGTCGACTTGAAGGTGATTTTGAGGATCATCCACAGGCCGAAGGTCCCGAGTTCGGAGCATAGTCCGAACATTCGTTCGACAAATGTCCGTGCCGTACCTCACAATGACGGACATGGCTCACCATCCGTGGCACTACATCAGGGACAAACACCCAGACGTAACAGTCGAATTCACCGACAGCTGCGGACAAGACGGATGCCTCGGCCGAAGCCACGGCAAAACCATCGAGATCGACCGCACATCAAACCAACGCGAACGCCGCGGAACACTCACCCACGAAACACACCACCACGAACGCGGACCAGTCCCCCAAGACCCATACCTCGCCGCCAAAGAAGAACGCACCGTACAACTTCTCACCGCACAAACACTCATCACGATTGACGACCTCATCGACGCACTGGTGTGGAACCGATTCAGGGTCGACGACGGCACTGCAACCGACCTCTGGATCGACTTCGACATACTCCTCACCCGCGTCCAGAACCTCACAGACGATGAACGAGCACACATCGACACCGAACTACGGCGACGATCGCCGTGGACCAACTGAAAGGCATCACATGAAACGCTCCATCGTCGGCGCAGCAGTCGCCGTCGTGGCAGTCGGGCTCGTCGGTTGCAGTAGCAGCGACAGCGAACCAGTCGCAGTCTCCGAACCAACGACTGCGCTCCCTGATGACGCCATCGACCAAGCCGGCGTTGCGTGCGTAGCCGCGCTAGGCCCAAAGGTCGGCGAGAAAACACCCCAACTCCGAATCCACTCCACAACAACTGTCGACGACACATTCGTGACAGTGGGACAGGTATCGAAGTACGTCGGCGGCGAAGCACCGCACAACTACCAATTCGAGTGCACCACGCGGTTCGATGGCACGTTCACAGCCCAGGTCACTGAATTCACAGAGCTCGCTCGAACAACCACAACAGCGCCCGACCCTGTCCGCGAAGTCCCATTCACCATCACTTCGCAAGACAGCAACTCAGTCGATGTCACGGTCGACGCCATCGACAAACCTGCAATCCAGTACGTGTTCGATCAGGTGCAGAGCAAGATCGCCCGAGATGAGGATGGAGGCGGTTGGTTCGTCTCATTCAACTGCTCTACAGGTGGCGGAGCTGGATCCGACAATCGCATCGCGAACGGCAAGTTCGCACTGGACAAACTTGGGCGCGCTCAAACAGGTCTGGATGTCGGCGAAGTCGAGCTTGTGATTCTCCCAACCGCGCACTGCCCATAAACCTCAACCGATCGAGGGAAGCCCATGCCGAGACCACGCTTGAGATTGGGTGAGCACGGCAACATCGAAGCCCGCCAACTCCCAACGGGACAATGGGTCGCGTCCTGCTGGATCCGCGACCCAGACGGCAAACGACGCCGAGTCCGCAAATACACCCCCAAAGGCGAACGATCATCGAAGACAGCCGCCAAAACGCTGCTCTCCGACTACCTCGCCGTCCGACAAATCTATGGCGAATCCGACCACATCAACGGCAAATCCACCGTCTCCGACCTCTGGGACGAATACCGGGCGCAACTCGTCGAGAAAGACCGCGCCTCCAACACCCTCCGCGACTACGACCGACAAATCGTGTCAATCCTCGAACGCTTCGGACAAGTCCCCATCCCAGAAGTCACTACGCAAGCCGTCGACCTGTTCATCCGAGACGTAGCAGCGAACCGCGGCGTACCCACCGCCAAAAAGGTGCGAACGATCATCTCGGGGATGTTCAAGATTGCGGTGCAGTTCCAAGCAGCCGAAGTGAACCCCATCCGGGAAATCTCGGACATCTCAGGGAAACGGAAGAAGCGGGCCAAGTCCCTCGACGCCCAGTCCCTAGCCGCACTGCTGCACGACCTTCGCACATCGACACTGCCATGCCCCGTGATCCTGGCGCCGTACCAAATCGCACGCGGGCAGAAGACCACCGACAAAGATGTCCCCACCGTCGCCGACTACTGCCGCAAGAACGGGATGGTCGACATCATCACCATGTTCGCCGCCACCGGCTGTCGCATCGGCGAACTCCTCGCGATCCGCTGGCAAGACATCAACCTCGACACCAAGACAGTCGCAGTGACAGGCCAGATCGTTCGGATCCGCGGCAAAGGACTGGTGCGACAGGACCTGACGAAGTCGGAGGCCGGCGACGACCGAGACCTTCCGCTGCCAGAGTTCGCGATGACCATGCTTCGCGGACGCAGTCAGGATTCGGTGTACGTGTTCGAGTCCTTGGCGGGAACGATTCTGGATCCGGAGACGGTCGGCCGGCGGTGGCGTCAGATCCGGGCAGCACTCGACTTGGAGTGGGTTACCTCGCACACCTTCCGCAAGAGTGTCGCGACGATCTTGGACGAGGAAGGGTTGACCGCGAGGCAGGCTGCGGACCAGCTCGGGCACGCTCAGGTCAGCATGACTCAGGACGTGTACTTCGGTCGGGGGAAGGTGCATACTGCTGCTGCGGACGCGCTGGATGCTGCGGTTTCTGGGAAGAAGTCGGGGCGCGAAAGTGGAACGTAAGTGGACAGTGACCTGTTTCAGGCACAAAAAATGAGGCAGGCCCTACACCCTGTTTCGAGTGTCTGACCTGCCTCTTTGTGGAGCTGCCGGGAATTGAACCCGGGTCCTACGTTGAATCGCTAGGGCTTCTCCGTCCAATGCTCGAATGTGCGTTCGAGTGATGGAAGGTTTTGGGTGTCTGATCTGCATCGTTCCGTGAACGCTGGCACGTTGCCTTGCTTGCGTTCGGGACTCTGCGGTCGAGTGCGTCCTGGGAGTTTCCGCGAAAGTGGACAGTAAGTGGCCACTATTCGCAAGCCGTTTCTCGCACATCTGTTCGATACCTGGTAGCGTCGGCACTGTTGGCAGGAGACGGAAGGGAAGCCGTCAAAGATCGCCCGCACCACAACTGAATAGTTCGATGCCCACCTGACTCATTCGGCAGCACAGGTGGGCATCGGCATATCCGGCGACGGTATTGAAACCAACCGGTTTATATGTTACTGCCCGTTTGTCTGATATTACTTAGACATGACCATCGTGGGGAGTCATCCAATACTGCTCGCAGACGGCCGTCGATTGGCAACTGCCCGAAGCGGATCCGGAAGCACAACAGTCATCGCCGCATCTGGCCTCGGCAAGAGCAAGGAAGATTGGCAACACCTCGCACCCCACATCGAAAACGACGCCACTCTCATTGCCTACGATCGCGCCGGACACGGCTCCAGCGATCCACGAACCACACCCTACGACCTCAACGGAATGGCCGACGACCTCCTCCAACTCGTCCAATCAGTCGAAGGCCCCGTCGTCCTGGTCGGCCATTCCTACGGCGGCCCACTAGTTCGACGAGCAGCGGAATCTCTGCCATCGGAAAAGGTGAAAGGTGTAGTTCTCGTAGACGAATCCGTGGAGCGCCTCGCTCAATCGGCTCCGTGGATCAGCCGAGCGAGTGTTTCACTGAAATACTCTCGCCGCGTTATCGCCGCGGCATTCTCCCGTCCAGGAAATGGCGAGCGACACCCCGTTCACGCAGCGCGGACAGCTCTCCGCGAGGCACGAGAGTTCCTGCCAAGCCTCGCTGACTTGTCACTGCGATCACCGGACCTATCTGGCGTACCGGCGACAACGATTTCAGCTAAGCGGAGTGACCTCACTCTCCTGCGTGAGCATGAAGCTGCCATCGCATCAGCAGAGTCACCGCGCACAGTGATCGCGGACTCCGACTCGCATTATCTTCACCACGTCTCACCTGAGTTGGTGGCCGACGAAATCCGCCGATACCTTTAGACACTCAGCATCTTCCCTGCGAAGTTTGGGTTATTCAGTAAACTGAGGCGTCCAACGCTGGAAGGGTGCTGGTTTTCTCTGAACTGATTCAGAATGTCAACTCACAGTAATCTTGCAGCACCAATGTAGTAACCTTCCATTTTGCTACGGCACCCTGAGAATGTCGGGCATTTTTGAGTGGAGGATCCTTGAAACGGTTCACAATCTTTACGGTCTCGTTGCTCACTGGCGCGCTGCTACTGCGGCGTGCGGTTATCTCTCATCTGCTGTCTCAACCGCTTGGTGTGCCACTCGGTCATCGACGCATCCGGTAAACGCAAAAAGTGCCCCCACCTCGTAAGGTGGGGGCACTTTGCGTGGAGCGTTAAACAGGTGCGATCGCAATCGTTCCGCTCGAATACTTCGACCCATTGCTTGGCGTCGCATTCACAGCAGCCTGAGAACCAGCCGCCCCGCCTGTCTGCACCGCAACGCTAAGCGCCGCGGAAGTCCCATTGATCACGGTAGTGACCGGCGTGACTCCTGCGGGCCAGGTGTGTGCGGCCGACAGTTGACCTGTCGACACCATACGAATGAGTACCGCCTTCGCCACCGTTGTTGTGATCGCGGGAGTGGGATGCGGAGTCGCGGTCGTCGATCCATCCGAAAGAATGCTCGACGACGCGTTGACGCCCGCCTGGTTGGCTACCGTCATGGCGATCACTTCGGTGGGGCTGTCGCTACTGAACCCGCTCGCCGAAGTCGTGATCGTCGCCGGATCACCTGCAACCTTCGTGCGTGTCCACACCTCCAAGTACGCGCCGTCGTACCAAGCGCCGTTGCCCATCCGCTTCGTCCAACCAGACGGAGTTGAACCCATCTGACCGGATGTAGTGGCCATCGCAATGACCCAAAGATCGCCGACGTTCGCGGCCGGCAAGGTAATAGTCACCGCCGAACCAGTCGTCTTCGAGAACGTCGTGTACGCGGAGACGGACGGCCCGTTGATCGCAGTCACGACAGGGTCCTTCGCCGACATTGTCACTGTCACAGACGGAACGACCACCGTCGACGACGCAGTCACCACAGGCACCTTCGCAGACATCCCGATCGTAGAAACCGGGACCACCACCGACGAGGTCGCGGTAACCACAGGAGCCTTCGCAGACACAGTCATCTCGGCAACACCCACAGCGACCACAGCCGAACCAGTCGCAGTAACCACAGGCGCAGGCGCCGCCATCGTCACAGCAACAACCGGGATCTCCGCTTCGAAGTGAGCCGCAACAGTAGGCGCAGGCGCCGACATCGTCACCGCAGCCGCAGGCACAGCGACAGTCGAATCAGCGCCGACCGCACCAACCGCAGGCAACGCCTGCATCGCGATCGTCACAACCTCCACCGACACATTCGCATCAGCACGGACAACCGGCGCAGGAACAACCAACGTCATCGCCGCGGCAGGAATCGCTACCAACGCCGTCGCCGTCACACTCGGCGCACCAGCAGACATCGCCATCGCAGCAACACCAACTGCCACCGACGACGACGCCGACACCTCAGGCGTCGGCGCCGACATCACAACACCAATCCGAGGAACCGACACAAACGCTGACCTCGAACCGTCCCACACCAACCTGTCACCCAGATAAGCGCGGATCACAGGCTTCCCATCGAGGTACATCCCCGTGACAGCACGACCTCTGTTGTACAAGCCCATGGCAGCCGCCCCTATGCAGTGGTGGAAGTGATGATTCCCGCGGTGTCCCAGGTGATCGTGAACTTGCCTGCCGTGGTCGATACGTCGCCACCGAGGTCGGAGTACGCGATCAGCGGGCGGGTCGCATCCGTTCCCGGGGTCGCGTCGTAGATCACTGCATACCGGGCGGTGATCGTCGAGCCAGACCATTCCAGGTCAGGGCCATCGAGCACCAGCGTGTTCGTGCCCGCCGTGTAGTTCACGGTCGGGGTCGCCAACGTGAGTCCACCTGCCGTGTACCCGGTGCCCGTCACCTCATTCGTGACAGACGACTTGTACTGGTGCACATCCTGATCCGGCGTGTACGCGCTCGTGCACAACATCACCTTGATCGTGTGGGAGGTCCAGTTGATTTCACCGTTGAATGCGGACTTCATTGCTGGTCCGTACAGCTTGGCGGTTGCGGCCATGAGTGGTCTCCTAGGACTCGAATGTCAGGTAGAGGGTGGCGGGGTCTTTTTCGGGGATCGCCGCGTATTCGGCGATGGTGAGGTCTTCGGCGCGCTGAATGCTGCCGCCGTTGCGGATGAACCCCAACGCGCCCGGTTCAGGTGGTGGGGCGCCGGCGTCGATCAACGGCCACAAACGGAAAGTCCCCGACTCGGCGGGGACTTCAATGGGGTAAAGCTCGTGTGTTGGGTTGTATCTCGACCATCGGATCCCCACCCAGTACGGGCCAGGATCCAGAACCGGAGTCGTGAATAGTCCAGTAGTTGGGTTCGCGGGGACGGTGGTGCGTGCGGGTCCGAGGATCGCATCATGCGCCGCACTGTCGCGGATGTCGCGAACCGTGAACACGATCTCCGCACCAACACCCAACTTCGCACCATCAGTCAACCGATCAGAAATAACAGGCATCGCTTCTCCTCATCATCCGACCGCCGGGGGCGTACCAGGATCGACAGTGCCCGGGTTCTCCACCTCGGACGAATGCTTCAACACACTCAAACCGGACCACTGCGAACCGCCGTAAAACCAGCGCCAACGACCCGAAAACAAATCCACCCGAACCGTGTAACCAGCCCCCGGAGTCGTGAAGAACACGTTGCCCATCAACGTCACTTCGCCATCTCCACCATTGTTAGAGATAGCAACCATGTCCATCGAACGCCGGTAATACTCAGAACCGTTCGGAGCCTTCACAACGATGTCCAGATACACCTTCGCGGAACCAGTGAAACCCGTACTACGGGAACGGGTCTGCGCGAGAACCTGCCACAAACCCTTCGAGTCCAGGCGTTGAACTTTCTTGTTCGCCAGCGCCGGATCCGACACCAAGGTGACACCGACACTCGGGCCGACTTGCCGATCAAACGACATCGTCCGCATCCCAGGCTGATCCTGGTCAATCGTGATGAACAAATTCTGGGACGCAACCCAGGAGCCGTAACCGATGATGCCTTCAAGTACCTGTGCGCGGTCCTGCAAGTCCACGATCTTCGCGGCGTCAGCCATCGACTTATCGCTGATCGACTTCAACGGTCCAGGACCGAAACCGCCACCACCGAGGAACGCGTTAGCAAGGTCGCCGAGCATCTGACCGATGTTCGCGAACCCCGCAAAAATCTGGCTGAACCAATTGTTCTTGAACGTCCCCCAAATGTCCTGGTTCTTGGGTTGACCAGCAGGTAGCTTCTCCATCAGCGCTCACCCCCTCTCGGTGCAATCTCCAAATCAGCAGGCGGCGACGGAACCTGAATACCGTTATCGGCGAGAGTGTTCCGAAGCTGCGCAATATACGTACGGGCCGCCAACTGCCAACGATCCAAATGATCGATCACGTTGTCACGATCAGCGACCTTGATTTCAAGTTCAGTCGTCCGAGCATCCGCCTTATCGGCGCGTGCATCCGACTTATCCAGACGTTCAGCCAGCGAAGTGATGTTGTCCTGCGGCGCTCGCTTCCACGCCGTCACCGCTCCAGCGAGAGCAGAACCGAAAGCAACGATCAACGCGAGGAGGACACCCAAGGATTCAGCATTCACTCACCGACCTCCTGATGTGCACGGGTCATCCCGAAATGAATGCCAGCGATACTGATCGCCACGACACCGAACACAATCGGCGCGGGTGGTTCGGATAGCAACGAGCCCACAACGATCGCGGCGCCGTAGAACATCCAGCCGAAGATCCCGACCACGTGAGCAGCGACCGCGTACCGTCCAGCGATCGCAGCAGCCGCAAGCAATGCCCCAGTCACAGTGAAGATCACCGGCCACACTGGACCAATCGACTCGATCAGAACGACCAACGTCTCCTGCCCTGGAGGCAACGGTCGGCGCACCCACTCGGACGGACCCCAGTAAGTGACACCGACCGCAACGGACATCAAACCCATGATCAGGGAAACGATGCGCACCCCTGACACGCCGCTCACCCCTTGGGTGCGGTTGCGAGGGCGGGCAGATACTGCTTCAGGAGCGCATCGACAGTCGGGTTCGCGAGGATCTTCGTCACGCCCGCAATGATCGGAACCGCCGACGCCAACGCCGTGGACTGCGTCGCCGTCGAAGCATCCGTCAACGCCGCCAACACCGCCGGCAGAATCGCAATCAGAAACGCCACCACCGTGCGAGCAACAGCCCGCCACGGATACTGGGACTGAGTCGACTCATCAGGCCTCGAATGCTCCCCCATCACTTGCCCTCCAGCTTCGTCAAACGTGACTGGATGTCGGCGAGTGCATCAACCACAGTCTTGTTACCCAACTGCGGCCAACCCTTGAACTGGCCCGCGTCGCGCTGCTTCATGCCACACAGCTGCTCGCGGATATCCTTCACATCGGACACAACAGCATCCATGTACGTCTTGAAAGCTGCAAAATCCATGTCACCCTCCTCGGGCTTCGTTGGGGTAGTCGGTGTTCCGTAGATCCCGAGATGGCCGGCGCGGAGCTTCGCAGCGAACGCCTCATTGCGTGAGTCACCCTCACGGAACGCCATCTGGTAGTGCATCTCGTCGGCGCGGCCCCAGTCGGCACCCCAGAAGACGGTGCCCTCGAACAGTCGAAGTCCCTCGCGGATCTTCGCGATCCGAGCAGTTGGCATCACACGCTGCCCCCACGGATACTTCGGGGCATTCACGTCGACTGCGGTTCCGGACAGGTGGTTCGAGTTCGCAACGTCGTTGGTGTTCGACCAACCCCACACTGGGGATCCGATTTCTTCGACGTTGCGGTCGTACCAGAACAGCCATGCGCCGAGGATCGTCAGCGTTGGGCCCTTGCGGAGCGGTGCTGTGTCGACGAGGAACAGGTCTTTGATGCGGGGGATGTCGCACTCGTCGCGGTTGCACATGCGCCAACCGTTCTCGGAGGGTGTTCCCGTACGCGGTACGGAATGTCATGTGTTTCTCCTAGGTTGAGTTGGCGATAGCGCGGATGCTGCCGAAGATCGTTTGGACCTTGTTGAGGACGCGTTCCCAGCCCTCCCCAACAGTGATTGCGTCACCGAACGTGGTGACAGTCCGCATGCGGCCGTCTTCCTGCTCAGTGATCTTCACGTTCGACACGTGCTTCTCGATCACCACACCGTCATCCCAAACGGTCATGATGTCGCCCACCTTGTAGCGGCGCTCGAACTGAACTTCCACGCCGTCAATCACTTCGATGTCCGCGCCGAACGTGAAACCACGACCATCTGCGCCACCGTCAACGATGGTCAGTTCGATCGCCTCGCTACCGGAATGCGCCTTCAGTGCGGCTTGACCGACAGCAAACGCGTCCAACGACCACGCGGAAGTGTTGTCCCCGAACGCCTCACCGCGACCCAACTCCCCCAACTCAGCTTCGAGCTCGGGATCCCAGAACTGTTGAAACGCGAAGAAGATGTCATCGAACAAGTCGCCGATGATGTTGCCCAGACCGAGCCCCGGGAGGATGGCGTTCAAGATCAATTGCAGGGCAAAGTTGGCTCCCCACTCGATAACTTGGTTCAAAATCTCGGGCGCCTTGCCGCCGATCGCCACCCGCGTTGCATCACAAGACTTTTCCGTGCGGCGTATGAATGCGATTTGATCTGAATCTGTGCGCCACTGATACTGCCGGCGGTCCCGCTTCGCGTGGGTGTTGAAGATGAATCCAGGGTTTTGCAGCTTCCCCCACTCCGACGGATTCGTGAGCCCCAAGATGTTGCCGGGGTTCGTGAAGTTCAGGAAGTTGTCGGACGTGTAATCCATCACCGACTGCAACATCGCCAACGTGTGCGTATTGAAGACCTGAGGGCTCGGGCCCATCGACGGTTCCCAAAAATCCAACGACAACCCAATCTCCTGGGTCTCGACTGTCTGCTTGAACAGTTCGTCAAGCTGCGTGAAGCGTGCCGCCAGGATGATCATGTCGTCGGGCGACTCGTGGACGATGTTGATCATGTCGTCCAACGTGTCCACATCATCAAGGTCCGGTAGGTCGGGGGTGGTGCGCCGGATCGGCAATGCTGATACCACCGGAGACCTCAACCTGGTCATCACCTTGGACACAAACTTTTTTGAGCACCTGATCTGGCGGTCCCCAGTCGATGTCCTGTTTGCCGGTGATGTTCAGCTGGAACTCGGGCGGCGTCGTGTTGTTCACCCATGCCAACGCCCGCAACAGTTTGAACAGGTGGCTGATGCAGGTCAGTTTGATGGTGAGGCGCCCGGGTGGGCCGGAAACCTGCGCCTCCATCACGCGGCCTGTCCACGGTATTCCGTTGCGCCACGTACGAATCAAGATCACCTTGCGACGTGGCCGCGATAGGTACGACGCCAGAGGGTGGTTACCTTTGATGAAGATTTCTCCGGTAGTCGGGATCGCCCAATCCCATTCGAACCCGGTGCCCGCCATGTACGCACCCAGCGGCCGCCACGACCGACCATCCGGCGACCCCACCTCAATCTGCCAGCCCTTGACCTCGGTCGTGTTCGGGCGCGGATATCCAGGGGCGGCGACAGTCATCTAGAAGCCCTCCCTGAATAGTTGCGGCAACGTCACTTTCACCGATGTGTTGGTGTTGGTGCCTGTGCCTTGGATCGTGATGGGAACCGTGATCGGACCGTCCGGATCACCGGGGATCTGCTTGTACCAAGCGCGAGCAATCCATGACCGATCGTTGCCAGCGCCGTCTTTGATGGAGAACCAGTTCGGATCGGTTTCGATGGTCCACACGTCGCCAGCTGCGATGGTCGGCAGCGGAACGAGTTCGCCCTGCCACCCGATCTTCGGAAGCGTGATGGGGCCAGTGATGACGATGTGCGGCCACACCGCCTCATCCGACTCCGACTCGATCGATGCCGTCGCGAAGTCGACTGCCTTGAACGTCTTGATAGCGGGCCGTTTCCGCCACCACGTTTCATCCGACCGCAGGGACACAGGGTCTTCCTGAATCCAGCCGACATCTTTGAGCATCGTCAGGTTGAGAGGCTCCAACTTCGAGTTGAGCCTCACATCCTGAAACTTCTCGCCACCCGTTTCGGTGATCGACCAGTACCTGTGAATTTCCTTGCCGCGCCCCAGTGAATGCCGCCACAACTTGCCTAGCGCAAGACCATCTGACTTCGGTACCGGACCGAGTTTGCAGACTAGAGCGATGTAGTTAGGTCCGTCGTTGCGATCCACCCATGACAGACCGGCTTGCCCGACGTTCGTTTGGTCATCGTGGGTGAACTCCGCGCCCTCTGCGCCGGTCGGCTCGACACGAAACGAGACGGGACAGGCGGGATCGTTGAAATCCCACACTGTCCCGTTCGCGCATTCGAGGACATATCGCCTGCTCATATGCCGCCCTTCATGATTGCGATGTTCGCCATGCCCGTGCCCTGATCCACGTTGACTGTGGCTCGGATGGGTTCCTTGTTCTTGACGGCTTCCAAGATGCCTTCGAGCAGAGGCGCGATCTCATCCGTGAACTGACCGAACCCCTTCTCCAACTGGGAGGAAGAGTTGCTGCTGGTGTCGAATTGGCCGGTGAACTTACCGTCCGCATCGAAGCCACTGGCGAGCGCGAACGCCGCACCCACACCGAACGCCGCAGCGTTATACGCAGCAGCACGACGACCATTCGCCGTCGTCGGCACCTTCAACCCCGGCTTCTCCCCCACATAACCACCGAACCCTGTGAGTCCGCCGTCAGCCATCGGCACCAACTCGTACCCGAACCGGCGTGCAGTCTCACGGGTGATCGCGACTGAACGGTTCCGCTTCGACGGGGCGTGCGGAATGTAGGACTCTCCACCTGTTCCCTTCTCCGCGAACCGAATCAAATCCGCACCATCGCTGTACAGGCCGGCTTGGTCGGGGGAGGTTCATGCCACCGTTCTCGAACACCTTGAACCCACCAGACCAGATCAGGTTCGGATCCTTCCCAGCAGCATCCGAGGTACCACCAGCCGGCGCCGACGACAGAGCCGACTCAGGCGCCGAATACGACGACGAAGACGAACCGGGCCAGTTGGTGACAAACACCCGCTGCCCATCAGTCGCCAACGCCACACCCGAATCCGTCGTCCCAACAGCCATCTGACCGTTACCGCGAGCATTCGACGCTGCAATAATCTCGTCCGCCTCCGCAGCCTTCACCGCATAATTCGAACCATCCGCAGTGCCCGACTGCTGCACCTTCTGCGCCGCCTCAGCCTCCGACATGCTGTTGTAGTCGAAGTCGTCGAGCTTGTCGTAAAACATGCCCGCCGCACGAGTCGGATCCTTCCGGTCCTCCAACGTGCCCCAACCACCGTTATCGCGCTGCTGCATGATGCCGGCGTTATCGCCATCCATGCCGTGGTCAAGGTTCTGCAAATCGGTTTCAGCGAGGGCGGTCATGACCGCGGCCTTGATGCCCTTATCGCTGATGCCACGACGCTTACCTTCCGCGATCACCTGATCGGCGATCTTCTCCCGCTCCGTCCGAGTATCCGGAGCAGCAGGAGCCGCATCCTTACCCGCACCAGACGGCGCACCCAACGGTTCCTTCGACGCCGCATGCACATGGTTCTCGTGCTGCTGCATCGTCGCCGCACCATAGAACGACGGATCAACAATCTTCCCGTCCTTGATGTTCCGAGTGAACCGCGGATCCGAGTAAATCAACTCCGCCAACTGCGACTGGTAGTTGTCGGCGAGGTAGTTCGCCCACGCCAACTGCTCATCGGTGTTGCCGGAGCCGTTGGAGTAGTCGACTGCCTTCCCTTGCCCGTGGTAGTCGTTGGTGTCCCGGTAGGACGAGGTGAGTTGCAGTCCTGGTGCGTGTTGGGATGCGATGCCGGTGAACGACTCGACGACACCACCGTCAGCCATCTTGATGGCGTCAGGTTTGATCAACCCGAATCCGAAGCGGCGAGCCACATCCTGCAAGATCGCCTCCGAACGCCTCCGCTTCGACGGCGCCCCCGGAATATAGGCCTCCCACTGCGTTTCACCTTCCGCGTACTGCACCGGCCCAAGCGGGGACTTCGTGTAGATGCCCTGCCCTGAACCCTGCTGAATGTGCGCGGTGTCGATCATCCCGTCCGCACGCGTACGGATAGCGCCGTCAGCCATCGGCACCTTGCCGCCAGCACCATTGCGCGAGTACGTCTGTGAGTCTCGCACCTGGGCGTCGGTGAGCCCGAGATAGTTCACTTTGATGTTCAGGTTGCGGTCGCGCCGCAACCACTCCTGCATCCGAGCTTCAGCATCATCGGTTTCAGCAGTCACCCGAACAGTGCCATCTGGCAGGGTTTCCACCTTCAACCCGAGGGCCTCAAGCTGATCAACTGAATCCTGCGTCAACGCCTGCGTGTGGATCGTCTTCGCGTCCGGGACATCGATGACCTTGCCCTTCAACACGTCCAGCTCGTACTTGGCTTCTGGCATGCCAGGCTGACGGATCGTTGTGTCCACGAACTCGGGCGTCAACCCGAGCGTCGCAAGGTACGCAACTGCGGCCTGATTGGACATGCCCGTCGCCATGACCTGCCCGAGAAGAGCGTCATAGTTCTCGTTGTACTGCCCAGTCAACGCCTCAACGGTATTGCCCGCTTCCATACCAGTTCGGATCTGATTGCTGAGCGCATCGGCCATACCTCTCAGGCCGTCGTCCATCTTGACCTGAGCCTCATTGTTGCGATCGATCGAACCAGTCCAGTTCTCAATCTTGATCGCAGCACCATCAGCGCCAACACCGATATCAGCGATCGCCTTGTTGACCTTCGCTGACTCATCGTTGAACGCCGCCGACAACTTCATATCGCCAGCGAACTCATTGAAACGGTTCTGAGCTTGATCGACAGCAGGCACCAACGTGTTGTCCACGAAATCGGCGCCCTGATTCAGGCCGTTCTTGATGCCCTCACCAGTCTTCTCGGCAGCGTCAGCCATCCCATTCAGCTTGTCTGACAGGCCACCAACACCCGCATCGAAACCAGGAATGACAAGGCTGATCACCGTCGACAGCGTGTCGAGACCGCCAACCATGTCAGCGAGCGATCGAAGAATGCTGACCGACATGTCCGCGCCGGCACCAGCGAACTCAGCGAGCCCACGCATACCATCAGCGACGAACCCGAGCACAGCCTTCGCACCCTCGAACGCACCATTGCCGACATCGATGAAAAACTCAATGACACCGGCACGGTTGTTTGAGATGTTGTCGGCGAAGTCCTTGATGTACGGTCCGAACGCTTGCGCAAGAGCAGCTTTCATCCCATCCGACGCAACACTGATGGAGTTCATCGCGCCCTGCACCGACGTGCCGGCGTTGTCGCCCATCACGTTGATCGCACGCCACGCCGCACCCTCATAGTCATTCATCGACTGAACAGCGGTCGACAGGTCAAGTTTGTACATCGCGTCACCGAGGTCTTCAGCCTTGGTGCCGAACAAGCCAACAGCGACAGCATTCTTGACGAGAGGGTCCTCGATCTGCCGGATCCGGGTCAGTAGCTCTTCCATACCTTCAGAGCCCTCGATGCCGCCCTTGGCGATCTGCGCGGACATCTCTTCAGCATTCAGGCCGAGAGCTTGATATGCCTCTGCTGCTGCCTTCGACCCATCGATCGACCGAATTGCGAACTCCTTGATCGCATCCGCCGCGGTATCCGTATCACGGGCACCGTTCTTTACAGCCTGATTCATCAATCCGAACGCTTCAGCACCAGACAGGCCGACCTTCGCGAACTGCACCGAGTACTCAGTGACTGTGTCCACCAGATCCTCGGAGGCATTCAAGCCCATCTGTGAGCCTTTGACGAGCAGGTCGAAAGCGTCCTGCACGTCGACTGCGAAACCGGACTTCACAGCGTTGCCTGCTGCGCGGGCGACGTTCGGGATGTCTTCGCCCATGATCGTGGCGACGCCGTCGAGGCTGTTGATGATCTTCTCGGCGTCGCGTTGTGTTGCGGCTGGGTCCAGGAGTCCGTTCGCGAGTGCGGCTTTCGCGGTCGAAAGGTTGCCCTCGATCGATTCGCCGAAAGCGTCGGCGTAGGACTCACCTGCTGCGAGACCGAACTTGCGGGCCTGCGCCTCGGTGACACCTGTCTGCGCCTGGAACAGGTCTTGATTCTGTTCCTGCTGCATACCCTCTTGAATGGCGGCAGCGAGCGCAGCACCAGCCGTCAAACCGATGACAGCGACACCAAGCAGCGAACCAGCGATAGGGCCTGTCGACGACGCGAGGTTGCCGATCGTGTCAGTGAAACCGGACAGGAAGTTTCCGCCAGCCTGATCGCCAGCACCAGCACCGCCGTCACCAGCCTGCCGATACAGATCGTCCAGGTCACCCTGAGCGGCCTGCAAATCCTGCCGAAGGCGGTTACCCAGTTCGATGTCGTTCAGCGCACCGGCTGCTTGCCGTGCGCCGGCACGGATTTCGTCGATCCCTCGTGCAGCATCGCGGGCCTCGTTGAGGAGGCGGTCGTTCATGACGATGTCGTCGACTGACTGGTCGGCGCGTTGCGCGTTGCGTTCCAATTCTTGGATGCGTTGCGCGGCTTGCTGCGCCTGCCGGTCCAGCTGCCGGTTGATTTCCACTGCTTGTGCTGCTTCGCCTGCGCGGGCGGCTGCGCGGGTGATGTCCTGGAAGCCGTTGCTGATCCGTTGTGTGGATTGTCGTGACTGCTGCTCGGATCGTTGGGTTCCCTGGATGAAGCGGGAATCATCCAATGTCAGTCGGGCTACCAGTTCGCCTACGTCAAGCGCCAAGGGTCAGCCCTCCAGTGTTCAGGTTTTCGGTTTGATCGTGGCGAGGAACTCGGTGGCCTTTTCGAGGTCGACGAGTTTGCCCAGTTGCGCTAGCGCCCAGTGCGCTTCGCCCATGTCGGCGGTGAAGCCGTAGTGGATGATTGCGGTGCGCCCGGCGTGGAAGATCATGGGCCAGGGCAGATCGTCGGCGACCATCTCGTCGTAGACGCCACCCGACCATGCTTCGGTTTCCGGGTCTATCTCGGCGCCGAGGATTTTCAGTGCCTCGAACACCTGCTCAACCGGCGGTACACCTTCCGCGATGACCTGCTTGCGTAGGCGTGCGGCCTCGGGTGCACCGGGTGCGGGCACGGTGTATGTCTTCCCGCGGATCGGCAGGTGCAGATCCGGGTCGAAGAAAGTATCCAAATCCTTGTAGGCCATCAGACTGCTTTCGGGTGTAGGGCGTCCCAGAGGTTGGTGCCGGGGGTGGATGCGTAGTGGTCGATGCGCAGTTTCAGCCACCGCCATGTGCGTGTGTTGAGGAGGCCGGATTCGATGTCGTGACCGTTCGCATCCAAGTCGAGTTCGATTGCGTGCCAGTGGTTGAGGACATCAGTCCACGGCCGATCAACGGTTTCGTCGACTTGGGTTTTGCCGGGTGTCGGGTTGTACCAGTCGCGGACGCCGGTTACTTCGTCGTACGGGCCGCCGCCAGGATCATCCGGTCCGTAGGTTCCCGGGGCTGAAAGATCTTGCGGGACAGTTTCGCCCCCACTCTCGATTGGTTCGGGGGTGGGGGCAGGGGATTTCCCGCCAGCACGCCACCAGCCGACTCCCACACCTGTTGCGCCCGCTCAGGCCTCAAAACAAAGGCCATCGCAACGCGACCAGCGAGAACGATCTTCGGCCACGAGACGCCGGCGTTGACCATCTCGTGATAGGTGTCGCCGAGCACGTAGATGATTTCGGCGCGTTCCTGCTCATCATCCAGCCGAACTTCTGAGCTCAGCAACATCATGATGTGCAGGCCTTGCTCGGCACTGCGATGAGACCCGGAACTCGCGCCCACCGATAGGCAGGACGAGTTCCGGGTCCATGAGTTCTGCGAGGTCACGCATACAAGTGCAACCTTTCAGAGGGGGTGCTGGTTAGGCAGCGGTGATGGTGAGGGTGCCGCCGGTGAGGCCGGTGCCGTCGCCGGTCACGGTGCCGCCGGGGACGGTGATGACGTACTCGCCAGCCGAGCCGGTGACCGTGAAGTCGGCGGCCTTGTAGCCGTCATCCAAGGCGACGAGAGCGGACTTCACCGCGGACGCAGCGGCATTGAACGCGATGTTGCTGGTGGTCTGGCCGTTCCAGGTCAGCGTGGCGTTGCCTGCGGTGGCGCCACCGAACGACACGTTGAACACCTGCGCACCCGAAGGCACCAGAGGCTTCGTGATCTCTTCCGGCTTACCGCCGAACCCGAGGGTGAAACTGAACTCCTGCAACGCGTTCGGATCCGATGCCGGCGAGTCAGTCCACTTCACCGGGTGCGTGCCCTGGTACGCGTCGGGCAGGTCATCGCGACGGTAGATGCGGGCCTTCACCTTGTTCGCGAGTCCGGTCTTGCGGCCGAGCTGACGCAGGTAGTTCTGGCCCGGATCGTCAACGAAGCCGGCAGTGTTTTCGCCCTTGCGCTTGCCGCCGCCCTCGATGCGGTACGACAGGCCGGTCGCGATCTCCGATGCATAGCCCTCAGAGTCGATGTCAGAGTCGTCCTGCAAGGCGCCTTCGAAGATGGGGCTGACGGAGGTGAGGCCGCGGACTCGGGTCCAGTCGGAGCCGATGAGGACTTCGAGGATCCAGTCGCGTGCGAGTGTGGATGAAAGTGACTGTGTGGGTGCGGTCATGGTGTTGCTCCTGGGTTTGTGGTGATGGTGTACGAATCGGGACGGGTGTAGCGGTTGTTCACATCCGGCGCGATAGGGCCAGGGATGTGCCGGATGCAGGACAGGATGTTGACGCCCGCCCAAACTGTGTTGCTGCGCTCATGCAGCCTGTCGTCGAGGGCGCGGAACACGCTGTCCGCCAACCTGTTGACGATGCGGGGGTCACGGCCGGCGGTCCTGAATCGCAGTTGGACGTAGTAGTCGGGGGTCGCTGCGTCCCGTGTCCGGTCATCGTTGTAGCTGTTGAGGAGGATCGCCGTGTCTGGTTTGTCGGGGAGTTGCCCGAAGAAGATCGCGGGGAGGCCTTCGCCGACGTAGATGCCGTTCGGTGCGTAGCGTGCGAGCCCGAGGGTGGCGAGGTGTTGAGCGAGGGCTTCGAGGAGTTCAACGGTGTCCGGTGCCCGAACAAGTGTCATCGTGCACCTCTTCGTGGGCAGGTCAACTTCTGTAGTTCCGCCGCCCGTTGCTCGCTCTCACGTCGACGCTTGTCCATGATCTCGTCGAGTCTCGTTCGGCGCCGTCGAGGAGCGTGCGGGATGTACGCCTCTTCCTGATCGTCGTCGCGTACCCACATCACCGCAGCGTGGTCGCCAACGCGTCTGAGAATTGTCGTGGTCGATTTGATCGGGTCTCCGACGCGGTCCGCTACGTAGGGAATGTTCATCCGAGTTGCCTCCGTATCGCCTCAGCGATGATCCGCCCGACGATGGGGGCCTTCGCGATGCACGCGTTCTCGAGGAACTTCGCCTCACCATCCTGATGGTGATAGCCGAGCGCCTCATGCTGGATGACCGAATAGATCGCGTCGAAGTGGACGATGCCTTCGTGGCCTTCTGCGATGGTTCCGGAGTCGTTGCGGAGGAACCCGGTCTCCTTCGGCGCTCGATTCACGGCGTCTTGGTGGATAACATCGAGCGCGTCTTGAATGCCGTCGGTGATGGCGTCGCGGACTGGCTCGATCGGAAAGTTCAGCGCAGTACTCACCAGCGCCTCCAGTAGTGCAGGATCGTCAGGACGGCTGCACCAACCACGTAGGGCAGCAGGATCACCAACACGACAGCCACTATCAGCTCAGCAATACTCACGAGTTGTCGTCCTCGAACCAGGATGTGATCTCGTCAGCTATGCCGCCTTCTGCGAACTGTGGGTAGCCGAAGCGGGCCGCGACCTCAGCGAGGATTTCGGCGCTACGCTTCCGATTGGGGTCGCTGCACGGGATGTAACACATGCCGTCCTCCTAGGTCAGATCCACGCTGTAGAAGTTGGGGGTCAAACCGTTGCCGTCGTCATGGCGTTGCTCCGCCAACACCACAGCCGTGCGTCCACCAAACTCGGGTGGAAAAGTCACCAGCGAGCCGACAGGAATCAGTGGAGTGTCGACATGCACGCTGACCCGAGCTTCGGAGATGACCTCGGAACCATCAGCAGCCTTCACCAACTTGCGTTTCGTGGTGATCTTCCCGAGCACAGTCACCGTCGGATCGAACGCCGGCTCGTACGGGCCTTCACCCGCATGCCGCTGCACCGATACCGGCCACACAAACCACGCCTTCTCGATCAACTCAGCCGCATTCACGACCCCACCGCCTCACGAATCAGGAAATGCGCATACGCAAGACCACGCCGATACCCGCGAGACTCAGTCAAATCATGATCCAACTCAACCCGATCACCACGAGACGCAGTGATCTCAGCGTCGATAGCGGCCAACGCAGCATCCATCGCGCTCATGACGACTGCACCGCCGACGACGCCAAACCCGCCAACCGCAAAATCCGCAACGCACCAGGCGCCAAAAACTTGAGCGCATTCATCCGATCCGGAGCCGTCAAATACGTGTCATACGACAACGACGCACCATCAATCGCGGTCGTCGTCAACCGCGGCTCCTGACCGCCGGCGCCCTTGATCGGATCATCACCCGACGCCAACCACGCATGCACTTGCGCGCACGTCGCTTCCTGCATCGCCTCAGACAGATCATCATCCGAAGGCTTACCGTTCGGGAGGGTGTCGTAAATGTCGCACTGGCATGCAGTACCGACAAGGCCGGAGGCTTCCCGCAGCATCGCAGTCACCTTCGCGGGGGCAGGTTCTGGGGGTTCCCCATCCAGGTTTCCAGCTGATCGGCGGTGGCATAGACGAGCACGGTTACTCCTTCTCCAGCCCGATGACGGTCTTGATGGTGGCGAGTTCGTTGCCTGCGGCGATCGGCAACCCGTTCTCGTCGCGGCGCAATTGCTCCACGATGATCCGACTCGGGTAGATCGTCACCTGCCGTGTGTCCGCTGACGGGATGCCGAGCAGGTTGAGCGCGTCCATCAATTCCTGCTGCTTGAACGTGGCGGGTAGATCGGACACGAATTCTCCTCGGGGTGTTGATGGTTAGTGCGCAGATCGCGCTGCTGCAAGGGGGAAAGGAACCCGGCGGTGAACCCCTCAAGCGGCCTTCACACATGTCAATGAGCCTGTGCCGGGATGTGTGTTGACGCACCAACCACCAAGCGTTGGTCCCACCAGCCCCGCGCCCCGAAGAAGGGAGGCGCGGGGGGTGGGCATCAGGTGTTACGCCTCGACGAGCCCGATCGGCTCACTACCCGGATCGGCAGTAATCACGGGCAGAGACTCGCCTGGACCCGCGGTCTTCTCGGTGGCCGGATCATTGATCACTGCGAGAACGTCGGCCTTCTTCTTCGCACCACCGAGATCCACCTCGTGGACGGCAGCCCAAGCCAACAGCTCAGGCAGCTTCCACTCGTCGGACGGTGCACCATCCGGGTATGCCGCTTCGACAGCATCCACGTCGTAGCCGTGACGGGTGAAGTACGCCAACGCATTCGCGTCATCCGTCTCACCCACACCGTCAACGAAGCTCACGCCAGCGACCTTGCCGTTGTACCCCTCTACGGGGGGTCTTCACGACTGTCATTACTGAACCTTGATGTTGCGGAAGACGGATGCAGCCTTGGTGGCCTTCAGAGCGACGCCGACAGGGCCCATCTCGACCTCACCCTTCTTCACTGCGCCGGCAGTGGAGAAGTCAGGCAGCCACGTCTGGATGATCTGACCGCCGACGGTGGACACACCGTGGAAGCCGTCGAGACCAACACGGTAGGCGTACAGGTCCGTCAGGCCCGTGGTCGAAACCGTGGCGACAGTGCGGGTCTCGACGGGGACGATCGGGTTCGCCGTGCCAGACTGGTCGCCTGCATCGGCAAACAGGATGCCGCCGTACGACTCACGGTTGATCGGCCGGCCGTTCTGACCGATCAGTCCCTCGATGGGGTCCTTGGTGTAGAGACCAGATCGGCGAGCAGCAGCGCGAACGCGGGCAAGGGCCTTCTTGTTGCCGAGGATCAACGTCGGGGTGCCGTCGAGCAGCGACAGCCACTCGTCGATGGCGTCGAGGGCCTGATGAACAGCCTTCGAATCGGTGTCCCAGTCGGTCCAGTTGGTGACCGAGGTTGCGCGGAACTCAGTCGAGGAGCCGGTGAGCGCCTTGTCGAGACCGTCGAATCCGTTGGAGTCGACGGCAACGTCACCGTTGATGATCTCGTCGCAGAACTTCGTCGAAGCGGCCTTCACCTTCTGCGACACGTTCAGCGCGATGTTCGAGGACGCGGCGGGACCGAGCTTCGCGAGGACACGGTCAACCTCGAACGATCCACCGAGGACGGCGAGCGTGATGCTCTTCTTCTCGGTGGTGACGTTCTGCGGGGTGTACTCGGTGTTGTAGGCGCGGGTCGAGGCGGTGGGCTGCGTCAGCAGGCGCCGGTAGCCGTAGTCGAGTGTTCCGCCACCGGTGGGCGATACTGCGTCGTCGAAGACGAGGGCGTCGAGTACCGCGGATTCCTTGCGGAATTCGTCGATGACGGCGGGGTCGTAGTCCTCGGTCGCGTTGACCTTGGATTCTGCGAGTGAAACAGCCATGTGGGGCTCCTACTTGGAGTAGTGGGCGGCGATGGTGCCGCTGAGGGTGGAGGGTTTGGGTTTTGCCTTGCCGCCGGTGACTTCGGCGCCGGACTTACCTGCCGTAGCGGGTTTGGCGAGGCGGGCTGCGAACGCTTCAACCTGATCTGCTGGCACGGAGGCGAGCAGTTTGAGGTCCTTGTCGTCGGTGATGGAGTGCTTGCGGGCGGCTCGTTCGACGGCTGCTTCTGCTCGTGCTTCGTCGCGTTCCTTGGCGAGAGCATCGCGCTCTGCCTCCGCTTTCTCCTTGCCGTCGAGCTTCGCGATTCGAGCTTTTTCCTTCTCCGCTTCGTAGGCCGCGATCTTCTGCTCTGCCTTCTCGCGTGCGGCGCGTTCAGCTTGTAGTGCTTTGAGGCCAGGTTCGCCGAGTGGTTTGTCATCGTCCTTGGGCTGATCTTCGGGCTTCGGATCTTCGCCTTCGGGTGGGTCGGTCGGTGCGGGTGCTCCACCGGACGGTTCTCCGCCTTCGGGTTCGACGATGAATCGCAGCCAGGGCTTGTTGACGAACATTCGGTTCTCCTTGGTTGTGCTGCATCGCGCAGCGGTGTTCGCCCGAAGACCATCGCGGACTTCGGGATTGAAACGGATTGGGGGTTAGCGGCGCGTAGGCTGCATAGCTTCGAAGCAAGCCTTGAGGTGTCGGGCGTCAGCCAGTGCGTCGTGAACTCCCGACGACTGCTCGGGAAACTCGAGATACCCAAGGTCGCGTCGGCGCTGCTGAAAGTCGTTGGTGTACATCGGTATGTTCGGCGGCAGGTCGATCATCTTGCCGAACAGTTGAGCCAAGGCGACGTGATCGTAGGCGGCATAGTCGGCCCAGAGGTCAACACCTGGTCCGCAGATGAATGCGGCTACGTCGTCGCGGATCTGCGTCTTCGGCTTCCACTCGTCCGCGCCGCTGAATGGTAGGTGTGGAACGACGTGCTCCATCAGCCAGTCGTCCTTACGGATTCTCTGCCAGTCGGCGCTTTCGTTGACGGCGTAGTACTCGCGCCCGTCTTCGCAGACGATGCCGATGGAGATCAGTTCGATAGTGCTGCCGTCTTCGAGGAACTCAGTGTCGTAGAAGTAGCGAGTCACGTCAGCTTCCTTCGTATCGGTTTGTATCTGGCTGTATCTGGAATGTCAGATAGGTCAGCGGGCAACGTTGGGGCTTTCTCGGCGTGTGCGGCGCTTCAGGTTGTGCTGCTTCGTATGCAAATCAATCGCGGCCTGTTGGGCCCGAACCTTCGCCAGTGCAGCTTTCCGGGCCAGCGGATTCGACGCCAAGGCTTGCGCACGCTTCAACTCACGGAGGTCACGTTCAAGCTTCCGTTGGTCTTGTGTGGCCTTGTATCCGGCCGGATCAGGTTCCGTCTTGAACGTGCGTGATGCACCAGCAACATACGCGGAGACGGCGTGGCCACAGTTCGGGTGTTGGAAGCCAGCGGCACGAGCCTGCTTCAGGGTGGCTTTGATCTTCACCTTCACCGCACTGCCGCCGGTTGCGTTGGGCCGAATCACTGTTCCCGTCTCACCATCCAGCGAAAGCACCTGGCCTTCGAACGGTTGGCATTGCGGCGCCGGCCTCGAGTGAGCGGAAACAACGATCAGGTTCTGACCGCGATCCAACATGCGTTCCGTGTGGGTGTCGATGAGTTCCTGGTTGACGATGGTGCGGGACTTCATCTCGATATACGAGGCGAGGGACCAGTTGCGGCCGGACGCGTCTTTGAAGCCGGTAACGCCACGTTTGGTGAGGATGTCCAGGGCTTGCTGTGCCGCATCCAGGCGCGTACCAGTCTGCCCCGAATGGCGGGCGATGATCTGCGTCGTGACCTGTGAATGCAACTCCCCCGCAGCACCCGGAATCCGAGCAGTCACAGAAGAGAGCACCTGCTGCCCCGCATAGATCGCTGCCCGAGTCTTCCGATCCCGATCCGGTGTCACAGGCGGGATCGGCGGAGCCTTCGGCAACGCCTTCAAGTCCTCGTCCGCAGCCTCACGGCCACGCACAGCAGCACCAGCAACCGCACCCTCAACCAGTGCTGGCATCTGGGATTGCAACTGCAACGCCAACAACTGCGCCTGTTGCCGGAACCGCAGCATCTCCGCCGGCTGACGTGCTTCCCACTCTGGTGTGTCGATGCCCGCCACGATCGCTTCGGCGAGCATCGACATCAGAGCTAGTTCGGCTTCGGTGTAGAGGTTGATCAACTCGTCGGGGAGTCCTGCTGCTTCGGACGGGTCGAGCGCCATCGCCTACCCCTCTAAAATCCGCCTCCGAAGCCGCCGGATGGATCAGGAATTGCGCCAGCCTTATCGATCGCCGCGGCTTCCTCGTCGATCCACTGCTCGTCCTTGTCCTGATTCAGGTACGCGACCTTCGTCCTCGTGGACGCAGCATTCGACGTGGACCAATTCAGGACAGTCCGCGACTTCGCCTCATCAGATTCACGAGCGAACTCAGGCCACTCGATCTCCAACTCCTCAGACGGGGCAACGCCTTTGAACTTGGCAGCATCGATGCGGAGGCAGATCGTCGCCAACGGAGCAAGAGCTGCACCCCAATAACGGGCCTTACCGTTGGTCGTGATGACCGTCCACTCCTTCTTCCCCTGCGCCTCAGTAGCCGTCTGAGCAACCTCATCCGACATACCAAACGACACAGGCGAATACCCGGTCTTGCGGAGCACTTCACGGATCAGCATCTCCGCGCCCTGATCATGGGCGAGGACACGGATCTCGGGCTGATGGAACTGGAGCATCGACATCGAGGTACCTGTCGAGCCGACACCAGTACCGACCGCCTGAAACACTTCCCGATCCTCCGACAAGGCCATGCCTTTGCCGGCGCCGAGGTTTTCGAGGAGGTCGGGTCTGTCTCGCTAACGGTGTTTCGGCGGTTTTCCATCAGTAAGTTTCCGATCCGGGCCAACGATCGGCGAACGTGATCGCAAACGCGTTCAGGGCTGGCTTCCACCTCGTTATCCATCGTGCCTGGCCCTTGCCTGTCGGGTCCAGTGACCGAGTCACCAGGTAGAGGCATTTGAGTGCGGCAGCTTCGGTGGGAAAATGTCCACGAGCCTTGACGGCACGCCGGTATCGGGCATTCAAGGACTCAATAGCATTGGTAGAGCACAGCACTCGCCGTATCTCGGTGTCGTAGTCCAGGAACGGAATGAACTCCTGCCAGGCGTTGTTCCACAATCGGATGATCGCCGGATACTGCTTGCCCCAACGGTCTGCGAGATCATCGAACGCTGCCCGCGCGGCAGCCTCGGTCGGAGCAGTGTAGATCGGCTTGAGATCGTGTTTGAGCGCATCCCAGTGTTGCCGCGACGACAACCGAAACGTATTTCGGATCAAATGGATTACACACGTTTGGACCGTCGTGGCCGGCCACACGTTCTCGACGACCTCCGGCAATCCTTTCAATCCGTCGCAGACCAGGAAGAACACGTCCCGGGTGCCTCTGTTGCGAATGTCGGTCAAGACTGACATCCAAAATTTGGCGCCCTCACCGCCAGTACCTGCCCACAACCCGAGCACGTCGCGGTGCCCGTCGAGACTGACCCCGATCGCGGCATAAATAGGCCGGTTCGCAACCTGCCCGTCCCTGACCTTGACGACGATCGCATCGATGAAAATCGCCGCGTACACCTCGTCGAGCGGCCGGGCAGCCCAGTCCTGCATCTCCTCGAGCACCTTGTCGGTAATCCGAGAAATGGTCTCCTTCGAGACCGAAGCGCCGTAAATTTCGGCGAAATGAGCGGAGATCTCACCGGTCGTTAATCCTTTGGCATACAACGACAACACGATCTCATCGACCCCGTTCAATCGCCGTTGTCGCTTTTTGACGATCTGCGGCTCGAACGTCCCTTCCCGATCACGAGGGACGTCGATCGGAACGTGACCGCTGGCCTCGGTCAACACCGTTTTCGATCTGGTTCCGTTCCGGATATTGGACGATTCCCGCTCCGGCGGGGCTTGGTTCTTGTCGTGCCCGAGGTGCTCGGTCATCTCCTCGTTCAACGCAGTTTCCAGGACAGTTTTGGTGAACTGCTTGAGCAAACCGTCCGGACCGGTCAGCGACAGACCCTGCTCCTTCGCCAACCTGACCAACTCCGCAGCCGCCGCAGCTTCCGCGGAGGGCTCGGCCCTCTTCTTCGTCACATCTTCCAGTGTCGTCATCTCGGCACCTCCTCGCCGAGCATTCACTCAGCGTCTCGGGCCGAAACACCGATTTAGAGACAGTCCCAGGAGGTCGTCTGAGGCGAACATGCGGGCTTGGCCGATGCGGAAGTCTCGGACGAGTGAGGAGTAGATGCGGTCGAGTTCGTGGAGCAGTGGGATTGTGTCGGTGGAGATGTCTGCGCGGCCGAGGTAGCGGAGTGTGTTGTGGTTCCGCCATTCGGGGTTGGGGAGGACGTTGGGGACGTAGCGGGCTGCCAGCTCGTCGACTTCGAGGTCGACGTATCCGCCTGTCTCGTCGTCGAACCCGTTGAGGGTGATGCCTGCGGTGTCCTCGTGGGCGTCCAGGTCCATCGCGGTACCGAGGTTTGTCGGTGTCCCCTTGTAGAGGGAGTGGACGATGCGGCCCTTCTCGTACCGTTCGAGGTGTCGCCACACGTCCCGCTCATCCGAACCCGCGAGCTCAGACCAGAACGTGACCGCGGTGAGCCTGCCCCACTTGTACTCGGGGATTGCCTTGTCGGCGTCCACGAAGTCGATCCACGCGTTGTCGGCGACTTCCTCGTCCCACACCACACGCTGATACGAGCCACCCAACGCCGAGCAGGACTCGCCGGCAGTGAACAGGTCACCGTGGAAGGTGGGGGTGTTGAAGATCAGATCAGCGCGTTCCTGCGTGGCACCTGTGGGGTCGACGACTGTGAGCGTCTCCGAGAACAAGCATGACGCTGACAGCTTCGGGATATCGCCCGCGATCGGCGCATGCAACCGCTTGATCGGCGTCGTCGTCTGACTGGCCGGACGCCCCCAGAACGCGTTGTACGCCGCGGACAGTCGATCCTTCACCCCAGACGGGGATGTGCGGTTCCCTGCTTGGTAGTAGTCGTCGAGCTTCGCGGGATCACCTTCCCACCACACCTGAGACTCGCGGGTGCGTTCCACGACTTTGCCGAGTTCAGTTGGTGGCCACGCCATGCCAGCTTTGATCATGCGGCTACCTCCTCGGCGATAGTGATTTCGATGGGTATGTGGTTGCGCCAGAACGTGAACGACGAGAACACGCCATAACGCCACGCGTCGCAGAAGTCGTCGTCTTCTTTGACTGGGGCGTCTTCGCCTCGTTCAGCGGCTTTGCGGTCCCACACATATCCACCGATCTCTCCGAGCAGGTTGGTGCATAACGGCCCGTTGATGAGTAGTTGGTCGGTGGACAGTAGGGCTGAGACGACGCCGATTCCCGATTTGTGGGAGTTGTGGGCGTTCATGATGATGCCGAACCCTTCGCGTTGCATCTGCATCTTCAATGCGGCTGCTGATGGGTCTACGAAGAAGCGTTCTGGTTTGCCGTGTTCGTTGATGAATCGGCGTAACGATTTGGTGCGGTCGGCTGGGGTGCCTGATGGTGGCGCCCATTCGGCCATTGCGTACAGCTTGTTGTCGATGCCTAATCCGATGAGGAGGCCGGCGGCTGGGTGGTTGACGCCGTCGTCGATGCCCATTGCGATGATGCGTTGGATTTCGGGTATTTGGTCGACGACGTGGCGTGCGGGGTCGAAGCAGTCGTAGATGACGCCGTCTGCCATGGTCCATTTGCCGAGGATGAATCGGTCGTACCAGAGTCCGGAGTATTGGGCTTGGCGGGTTTCGATGTATCCGTCGGGGAGGTTGTCGCGGTTGTCTTCGATTTCGAAGTGGAAGCAGCGGATGTTGAGTTTGGGGTCGTGTTCGCGGTCGATCCAGTCGGTTTTGAGCCAGTGCCGTGGTGCGTCGGGGTTGGTGGTGACGAACAGTTGGCACGCATACCCTTTGACGCGTAGGCGGCTGTGGAGCATGGAGAAGAACTCTTTGCTGACCAGTGTTGCTTCGTCGAGGTAGGCGATGCAGATGGTCATGCCTCGGATGGTTGATTCAGCGCGAACATCTGAGCTGCCGAGGATGTGGACTGTGCGGCCGAAGATGGTTGCTGTTGGTGCGCCGCGGTTGTAGCTGATGTGGTCGACCAGATCGCCGAACAGGGCTGGATCCAACAGGGCTTGCATGATGTTGCGGTAGACGGTGTCCCTGGTGCGGCCGATGATGACGATCTCACCCGAGGTGGGGGCGGTCGCGATCTTCATCAACAGCTTGAACAGCGACCCGATCGTCTTACCGGATGACACTGCGCCGTGCCAGATGACCACTTCCGCTGATGCTGCACCGATGCTGTGGGCTTGCTTCGGGGACAGTGTGCCGAGCTTCGTAGGCAACAACCCGGTCACTCCCCTTGTTCGGCTTCGTACTGTGCAGCGAATTGTTCGAGGGCGCCTTGCATCTGGACGAGCGCGGATACAGCCTTCTCGGCTTGTTGGCCGGCATTCATCTCGTGCAGCTTGTTCGCGGCGTTAAGTGCGGTCGCAACGGTTTGCGCGATCGTCTTCTGATCGGAGTATGTCGGCTGCTTGAGGGTGTGTTCCTCGTATGTGTTGTCTTTGCCGCCGAAGCTGAACACCAACGTCTCGGACCACATCTGGTCGATGACCTTCTCGGCTTCGATGAGTAGGCGTTCTTCGAGTGCTGCGCGCCGTGCTTTGTTGTCGATGTGTTTGGCCTCGGCAGCCTTCGCCGTCTCAGCACGACTGAACGACAAACCGAGCCGCTCCGAATGCCGGCTGATCGTTTCCTTCGAACGCTGCATGTCGGTCGCGATGAAGGACAGTGACTTCCCCGCAGCGTGGAGTTCGGTTAGCCGTGTGCTCTCTTCATCGGTCCACGCTGCCACTCAACGCTCTCGCGCACGCGGTGACCGTGCCAAACGTTTGGTTGTGGGCATTGGTTCACCTCGTTGTGCGTGTGTTGTGGATGGTGTTGAGGATGTTGTTGCGCTCATCGAGGAGGGTGTCGATGGCGTTTGGGTTGCCTGCGCGTCGTGCTTGTTCGAGGTCCCATTCGTTTTGGTCGAGTTCGTCTTGGAGTGATTGCATCGCGTCCTCCTCATGTGGTGTACATGCGCCAGATTCCGGTGATTGCCCAGATGAGTAGGTCGCGGCTGGGCACTAGAGGATCCACTTTTGAACGAGGGCCCAGAAGATGCGCAGGAACTCGATCATGTGGGCCTCCTGAAGTTGGTCCCCGAACGTGCGCCCACCCATGGCGAGATTGGGGGCTGCATCGTTCGGGGGTTGCTGCACGATCCTCAAAAGGTGGCCCTGGGGTAGTGGGCGCGGTGTGCAGCAAGACAAAAGCCCCAGAGGTCTACGTACGGCAATCGGATGCACGTAAACCTGTCTGGGGCTGAGTTCCCTTGGCAGGAGTCGAACCTGCGTTTCACCTCGGTTAGGCGTGCGCTCTGCCATTGAGCTACAAGGGAATCTGTTCAGTTGTTGTCCGCGTTCTGTCATTGTCAGGTGTCGCGTACGCGCATAGCGTATCACTTGCATCGCCGCAAAGATTGCAAGCGTGCAAGCAATTCTTTAGGCGGGTTGTTTGAGTTCGTATGCGCGTCGGGTCATGCGTAGTGCTTCTTCTAGTAGTCGTTCGATGCAATCTCGTTCGGTCTCGCCGATGTCTCGGGTGAATGGGTCGATATCGATGGTGGTGTTTCCGAGTTGTTCGGAGCTGACGGTGATTCGTACGTTGGTCATACTGCGATCCTGTTCCGTTCGGGTGTGGCGTAGTGGGCGTTGAGTACGTCGCCGAGTTGGTAGATGGGGGTTCGTTTGTCCGCGTAGCGGACCGGCACGATTTTTCCGGTTTCGCGTAGGTGTTTGATGCGGCGGATGGTGAGTCCTTGGGCGCCGATGTGTTTGGCGAGGGTGGCGATTCCTCGGGCGTTGAGTTGTTCGGCGTGTGCTTGGGCGAGTCGTTGGGGGTTGGGTTTGGGGATGGGTTGGAGGTGGCTGCGTCCGGATGCGTTGCGTGCGTGCCGGATTTCTGTGGTGATGTCGTGGTGTGCGGCTTCGCTGCCTGGGGTGGCTGCGAGTAGCAGGATGTTGCGGGTGAGCCAGTCTGCGTAGCCGGAGCAGGTGGCGTGTACTGCTGTGATTCCTCGGGCGTCTGCGAGGAACCATGCCCATGTTTCGAGGCAGATGAGGAGTCTGTCGGCGGCGTCGACTGCTGCGACGTTGAACGGCAAGGGTTGCGGCCGGTCTCCTGTGCTGACTTTGGGGTTCCAGGTGGCGGTAGCGATTCGTGGTTTCTGGGCTTCTCGGAGGTCGTCGAGGATGTCCCGGACCTCGGCTAGGGCGTCGGTGAGCTCCTGCTGCTGGTGGCGTGGGATGAACCAGTGCTCAGTCACTATTCGCTCCGTTCAACGCTGATGTAGGCCTTGGCTTTCGGGTTCACGGCTCCGAGGTTGATGTGCCACGTGCCGACACCTGGTACTTCGACACCGATCCACCAGCAGTTGTCTGACATTGCTTCGAGGTGGACGTTGGCGCCGTTGGCGAGGAACTCATCGACCTCGCCGTTGACTTCGCGGATTTCAGGGTTTGAGGTGATCGCTAGGTCGCCCATCAGAATGGGGCGTCGTCGGATGTTGCGGCGGGTGGGCTGCCCCAGGGATCATCCTGTGCGGGCTTCGTGGTTGTGCGCGCTCCCCCGCTTTTGCGGTCAGCTTTGTTGACCTTGGCGGTGGCGTACTTGAGTGAGGGCCCGATCTCGTCGACCTCCAACTCGACGACAGTGCGCTTTTCCCCTTCGCGAGTCTCGTAGGAGCGTTGCTTGAGTCGTCCTGACACGATCACCCGAGACCCACGCGTGAGGCTTTCGGCGACGTTCTCGGCTGCCTCACGCCAGATGTTGCAGCGCATGAACAGGGCATCTCCGTCGATCCACTCGTTTTTCGTCCGGTCGAATGTGCGCGGGGTACTGGCGACGGTGAAGTTTGCGACTGCGGCGCCGGCGGGAGTAAATCGCAACTCAGGATCGGCGACCATGTTGCCGATGACGGTGATGGTGGTGTCGCCGCTCATGTGTGGGTCTCCTCGATGTGTTGGTTGATGATGGGGAGGATGGTGGGTAGGACCCATGCGCTGTATGCCTGGATGATGCGGTCCTGGTTGGCTTTCGACTGCGCCTTGAATTGTGTTGCGCTGTTTGGGTTGCGGAGGATTTCGTTGCGGGCCGCGGTTTGTAGTGCGTCGCGGAGTTGGGTTTCGAGGTCGCTCATCCCGCATCCCCCGGAGTGAAGAGGACGGTCGCAGGGAGGTTTACTGCCCAAAGTTCAAGTGAGGTCATGGAGCATTCCCAGTTGGAGGCTTCACACCACCTGTCGCCTTCCTGCTTCTGCCAGGCGACGTGTCCAGCTCGCCGGGAAGTGAGCAGGACGACCGCCCCCACCGGTAGCGCTTCGAATTCCGGACGGGGCGTTCGCCGTGCGACGCTTCGACCAACCAGCGGCGAGGAGTCGGTCGGCGGCGTGCTGTGGCAGCGTCCCAATGCCACCGGGGTTGTCGAGAACTGCGCCGGCCAATATGTGCACCAGTTCGTCCCTCGCGGGTGTGGCCTGTGATCGGATCTCACTCACAACGACTCCTCCCACTGGTCTGGCGTGATCTGCTCGGGCATTGATCCGACGACCGTCATCCACCACTCAACTGTCCTGCCACGTAACGCGACCTGTTCTTCGGGCGCCAGGTTGTGGATGCAGTCCTTGTGGTGCAGGTGGCGTCCGTTCTGCGCCCGCCGGTCCAGTGCGGCGATCATGGCCTGCTTCAACTGGTCACTCACAACGACTCCTCAGAAGGCTTGTCGGGTGGGGCATGGCATCGGGTGCGCGCAGGTGCGGCAATAGGTTTGGAGGGATGGCGGTGGCCACGGACTGTGCAGTGCTTGGACTCGCTCGACAGCCGCAACCACCTCACGCCCCAGCTTCGCGAGATACTGCGATGGTGCCGCCGGATCAAACTTGGCTGCCAGCGCTTTCGTGTGCTCAACATCCACCCCAGTCACGCCGCCACCCCCACAAATACGTAGCCAGCTTCGGCGAGTGTCTCAATGAGGTCTAGTGCTTGAGGCAATGCCTCTTCCGCTGAAATGCCAGCCTCCGCGGCAATGAATTCGGCTATCACAGATTCGGCGCTCATGCTCACGCCGCCACCTCTTCATTCGAGTGTTGCTCGGCGCACAGTCGCATCACCAGCGCGCATTGCCACTCCGACAGTGACTTCCGCTCTTCGCGCACCGACCGCAAATTGTCGGCAGATGCACGAGCAGCCGCAGCGATACCATCCGATCCAGGATTGCCAAGCGGCCATACCTTCCACCTTCCAAGTGGCCCGTTGTGCCGGTAGTCATGCCATTGCTCCCATGCGGGCAGGCAGTCTTCACAGAGGCTCATGCTCACCCCCTCCTCGGCCGCAACGAACGGGGCGAGGCGCTGCGTCGAGGTTGCCATGCAGGACTTCATCGTTGATGTCCCGATGCAGAGGATGCCGTCACGCTTGGTGTAGGTGTGACGATTCTTCGCCAGCACAGTTCGACCTTCGGGGACTTCGTGCCATGTCGGCCACTCGGCTTCGGTGGGGGTAGGGACAACCGGCGATCCAGTGATTGTGACCCCGTGCTTGTCCATGCGAGACTCCGCTTTCGTCTCCTCCTCGGCGGGTTCGGTTGCGACGGGCGGTGATGCGAGTTCCGGAACAAGTCGGCACCAATCTCCGTTCGCTTTACGTGCCTCTTCAATCAGTTCTTCGCGGGTCTCGAATGCGCCGGTTCGAGCGTTGTGCCATTCGTTGTCCGCGCCGAAGTAGTACGTGGCCCAACCGATTCGGACGACCTCACCGAAGGAGTTTGCAGGAAATCGCGTTCCACTTTCACTTCACCTTCAGTAGGTGCGCATGCAATCAAATCCCAACCGCTGAAGCCGTCCCAGGTCCACTCGCTCTCGTCCGAAGCCGTGAAGGCAGTCCCGGCGACGCAGCCGGATACATCAGGGAAGCCGAAATGCTCGGTCGCGAACTCCGTGGACATCGTCCGGTATGAGCTGATCGGATCGATGAAGCTCTCGATCGGGTCGGTATCCTCTGCGGGGATCTCCACGTCGCCGTCCGTCGATGCGAGAGCGGACTTGATCCTGGCGAGCGTTTCAGGGTTCCGCTGTAGGCGCGCCTCATCGTGTTCAGATGTAGGAAACTTCTCCCGAAGTCGGTCACGCGAGCTGTAGTCCCCGCGGCCCTCCCAGATAATGTTGAGGAAGTCTGCCCACTCCTCGGCGGTGAGTGCCATACCGCCAGCGGGAACGTACTTGCGGCCGGTTTCGTAGCCGAGGGTGAAGGCTTTCGCGAAGATGTCGCCAGCAGCGGCGCCGAGGTTTGTGTCGGTCATGGTGTGGGCTCGATTCGGAGTGTGATGTGGACGCCGGGGGTTTCTCCGATGTCTGCGATGACCTTCGAAGCCCCGAGTTTGGTGATCTGTGAGTCGTCGGCGATGAGGATGTTGGTGATGCCGTCGAACACTGCGCGGGTCAATTTGTCGAGGTCCGGTCGCTTAACTGCGGGTGGTGTCCGGGACTTCGGGGTGGCTTTGGGGCGTGGCATGACGAAGATGAGGTTGAGTCGTGCTGCGCCTGTTTCGAGTTGCCCACCAGCATCTTTCAGTGCTTGGTGGGCGACGGTGCTGATGGTGTTGCGCCATGGTTTCAGTGCTGCGGACGATTCGATCATTCGTCCGCCGCCGATGTGCTTCTTGCTGCCTTGTGGTGCTGGTGATCCGGGGACGAAGAAGTGCAGGTCGGCGGTCATCGTTTTTGGCTCTCGCTGCGCTGTCTTGTCCGGTTTTGTAGGCTCGGCATTCGTCGCATCGGCATTGGTAGGAGGCGTAGGCGTTGCTTGTCCCGTGTGGGGCTTCGGGGTGGTAGGGCCTGCCGTTTCGGGTGATGCGGCGCAGTCTGATTCGTGCTCTGCCGAGTGTGTTGTGTTCGGCTTTGGTGCGTGTGTGGTTGGCTTCGAGTGCTGCGATTTGTGCGTTGAGTTTGGGTTTGTCTGCGCAGACGGTGCAGAGGTCGCCTACTGCGTCGATGGTGTAGCCGTGTCCTCGTCCGCCGCATATTTTGTAGCCGCGCATTTCGCCGCATTCGGTGCAGGGTGATGGTGTTGCTGTGTTTTTTGCGCGTGATGGTCGTACGTATGGGGTGGTGGTTGTGGCTCGGCGGTTTGCGACTTTGTTGATGGGTCTGCGTGTGGGCCTGGTGCGTTTGCGTTCTTCGGCCATGATTTCGCGGGCGGTGGGTGAGAGCTCGATGGGCGGTAGCGTTTTGGTCCGCATCAATCGGTCGGCTTCGCGCATTTCGCGTCGGCACGGCCCGCATTGACCACACCATCCTGTGGGGCAGGATTGGGTGGGAGGCTGGTTGCGATCATTTCCCTGTGGCTTCCTCGTAGGCTCGGTCCCATGCGTCGTTGTCTTCCCAGCGGTCCAGCAGGACAGGATCGGTGAGGTGGTCATCATCGAAATAGCTCATCGGAGCGCCGCCGTTGCAATGCCAATTCCGATGCACATGGAGCCGACGATCACGGCGAGAATGGCTCCAGTGGCAAGACCGGCTGCGAGTGCTACTGCGCCGAGAATGATCGTTAGGGTGCTCACTGTGAACCTTCTTGGGTGAGGTGGTTGTGGGCGGCGTTGGCGAGGTCCATCCAGATCGTCTGCTGCAATGCGTCCAACTCTTCGAACGGCCCGAGCATTGCGC